TAGAGAAAAGTTACTGAGGACTTTTCTGGTTCAGAATGATCCGAGAAATCAGAAAAAAATGGTCGGAACGAAAAAAACTTTTTTATAACTAATTTTGAGGGGAAGGGATTAGAAAATGGAACAAAAGAAGGTCCGGCATTATCCGGATTATTATCCTTTGACCTCTTCTCAGTTCATAGCTGTTCATAAAGTGCGGTCCTCACATTCTGCAAACTCAATCCCACCCAGCGCGTGGTATATAATTTATAATTTCCCTTGCCACTTTCTACGTTGCTACTTGAACTGTCTGACTATTTGCTTTGCTCTATATGACTAATGCTTTTATCAGCTTTTGCTTAACTTTACTTAATACTGTTTCCGTTCTTTTGTGTTAAATTTAACAGTTAAATGGCAACTTAACATGGATCCAAACCCCGTTCATACTCCAAACTCGACATTCGTGACTAATTTCTCGATTTGAACGCGTTAGTGCGGACTCGGAACCGAAATCGAAATCATTGGAATCGCTTTCTCCGAGATGATTCCTCCAGTTCCCGCTGCAGTATCGTTCTTTCAGTATGACTCGTTCAGACTCGACCAACACCATATACATATATTTCAACGAGTGCCCAATTCCATGAGAAGGAGGGCGGAAGCATGCATACTAAGTGATGGGGGCAATTTTCAACAATTTTTGTAATCATTTCGTTGGTTTTAATGTTATGGTTATGTTGTCAGTTGTTGTTGTTCATTACCCCAAATGTGTTTAATGTTTCCAATTAAATTAATAATACTTTTGCAAGTTAGATAATAGAACGGATTTTATTTTTTTACTCAGAAATGGCGCATCAAAAGAAAATAATTCAAGAGAGACCATTTGTTTTAAATTAAACGTGGAATTTTTTGGCAAAAGATCATTGGCGTACCATTTTTTTCTTAAAAAATGTCGAAGTCAATACCTCTACGCACGCCACTGTTGAAGCAAAAAATTATTTTTGCATTGAAAAATATGCAACTTTATTAACTTTCACTACGCACTAAATATCAGTGAAATATCTGAAGCGGTTCTGAAAATATTAATTAATTTCCATTTTTTTCCTAAAACTTCAACACCCCGAGTCTTTGTAATGAAACATTTTTGGACCATAGTTTATAAAGCAAACTAACATTAATTTTTTATGTAGATCCACACCCTTACATATTCGCATATCATTGAGGAACACCCTATATTCTTTTGTCTGTCATAAAAAGACTTCTATTAACTAAAGTCGTATTTCATATACAAGGTAGTACCCATAGAATGCTATGCTGGGTAGCCAGTGAATATAGGAAGGATTCAATGGCGTCAATCAAACCTTGCCATAAAACTAATCTTATAAGTATTCATAACTACATTTATACCCACCATCGCTAGAAGTAATCCCGGATTATAAGGGTATTGTGTGATTGTTGCTTTCTCTGAGGTGTAAAAGTAATGGTAAGGATGTCCTCGTTTGAATTACATTTCACAACTCACTTGGATCGCAATAACTGTGGATCGCTGACGTTTGGATAAGTATTGTATTGAAATTAGGGATCCCTTATAGATATTGGTTTATGACGACTATTGAAGCATTTTTGTTACATAGACCGGGGGAAACGAATAGGACGATTCATGATAGGAAATTCAAAAATAGCACGAATTTTATGCAATCCAAAAAAAATATATTGTACAAAACGCATAACTAAACCAGGTGATGAAGAAACTGAGATACTTTGGCTCCTATAGAAGAAGAAAAGTATACCAGTGGTTTCTTATCTTCTGCACCTTTGTTTAGGATTAGTTTAAGGTTAAGAAGTACTTTTTCCACATTAACTCGGCATGCTGTACAACCACTGCGGAAAGCAAATAGCTGCTACTAGTTGGACCTGTTAGGGATCTCAGTTCACGTTTAACAGCCCAGTCACCACGAGACTACTAGATGCTGACGATTCAAGCTGTCTACTTGCCATTGAATACATGGTTAGTTATGTTACATTATCCATAATTGATGACTCTTCTCTAACGGAAAGCTAAGGGACCTTTTCCCACTGGTGGACCGTCGGCGATCTAGCTCTCTTCTGCCGCGACGCCAACGGTCTTTGCTCATCACAGCTCTCCTCCATGATGCCACCGTGCAACGTGTCTACCAGTCAGACCCGCCTAGCTTCGGCCTCCCATCCTAACTTTGCCGAACTTCGTACATCCAGAACTGGTTGATACGACAACACCTTTGTCTCTATCGAGATTGTGGATCAATCTACATGATGAGATTTTACCCAGTTCTATTAACCTTAGGCAGATCACTAATTGGATTAAAAATGCTTCTTTCAGCTCCTCATAGTAGCCGCGGTGCCTGGCATTCAGGATTCTGCCTGCCCAGCTGCTTTGGTGTAAAGAAAATGATCTGTCTTCCTTCATACATCTTCTTATTCTGAAAGGCATCAATAGCGTTAGCTGTTCGAGAACCACTCCATTTCCTTTTATTAATCTTTCCTATTATCCTTTTCGAACTGGAAAAGGGGCTTCAAATGGTCGTAATAATAGTAGATTTAGGCAACTGAAAGGGTCCGGCTTGTGTGAGAACAGAAACTCCAAACATAATAAAGAAACGATTCTATGATAAAGAAGATACTAGGATATTTCCATTTAATAAAATACATATACATTTACGGTTGAAATCGGTCGAGTTTCAATGTGTACGTGACATTCAACGCTGCCGTTGGCAGGCACTCTTTCGAACTCTTTCTAACAAACGTTTTGCACTCTTCTCTCGCTGTGTCTCTCGTACGCATTGAAACCCGGCGACCTCAACCGTAAATGAGTCGCACGGTATAGGTGTAGACTTACTTGTAAATCTCTAGGAATAAGAACGACAGTTGCAGCAATAAGTAAAACTTTGTGTCCACTATCAAAAACATAGTGGTAAATGAAAAAGCAATCGATACCTAAGCTACTATTCACACTTGGCAACAATGGAGTTCCAAATAATGCAAAGCCAACGTGACCAGGGGATTGGTACGATTTATTAAGCTTTTCTCTTTATCACCAAAGTACGTTACCAGCGAAACATTTAGATTGTCGGGCTTTTACCACTTATCAGATTGTAGACCCTGATGATGGACAAACGGAATAATGAACCTATAAGAACTTTTAATTATGGATCAGATTTGATTAATCGATCAATGTTTTCGGGAAATTTATGCAGACTCCAAAATCACAGGTATGGTGTGGGTGATTCTTTGAAATATAGATGAGATATTCTAATATTTTTTGTAGCCCCACTTTTTCGCGCGTATCCTAAACCTAACGTTTTTTGTCTTTTCCAGGTATGTGACACCTAATTTAGAGGACTAGTGTAAGTGGATATAATTATAAAATTGTTGTCATTACCGTATGAGGTTATACATAAAAACTTTCACCATGGCATTAAAAGAATATTAACGTACATATAACAAAATCATAAATTGAGGAATTATGGACACATTTTCTGGTTCATGTTTTGATAATAGTAGGTTTGGAGATGACAGGACATTCTTTTACTGAACGGGAAGGCGTAAATGTTTGATACAATATTTCTTTAGTGAACATACAACAACGAATACTGTTAACTGAAATGTTACACTCTTTGATTCGAAGGAACATATATGTTAACTGATGAACGAATTGTTGAATTATAACTATTTAAATAGGAATACCCTAAATACTTTCCTTAATGACCATAAGTAGTTCTCAGTAAAAAAAATAATGAGGGCATCAAGGGAATCTGACATTCTCCTCCGATTTGATAGGGTCATTTTGTAAAAGAGACAACCATATAATTATCCTTCATTTTGTTACCGTTACATGTGTTGGTCACGCAATAATTAAAAAGTTTTTGTTTCTCGTTTTCAACGGAACATTCATCCAAGATAAGTACCTAAAAACCCATTCTTCCTATTTTCGCTGTAGGTAACACAAATTGAACATATCCAGTTTATGTCAAAATCAAAGATCTTGCTATTGGAAATGACGTTCTCGCAGATATGATCTGATCGGCATTTCTCCAAACGGTGGGTTTGCAAACGGTATATGAAATTCTGGACTCTCTTGAAGCCAAACGATCTCTTTAATAAACAAATGTGCAAATTGGAACCAGGCTAATTAAAAACTGACGATGGAAGAGTTGGTGTCTAAGATCGGACACTTCTTCAATGACTAGACTAGTATTAGTAGTAGTAGTTGTGGTGGGGAAGCGAAGCCTGGCAACTAAGCCATGTTTGACACTTCTTGCCAACCTCGTAGTACCAACACTGCTACCTACTGTTAACCGGTGGTTCAAATGCTCAGCAGTTGATACTTTGTCGGCTTACAGTATGTTCGTAGGTACAGATATAAGCATGATACCATGTGCTTGATGCACCAATACATTGGACTATGCCTTTTGATTCATCTGCTGGGTGATTCTTCTATCGCTGCTTTGTCACACAGGTTTCAGTCCTATGAAGGGAACTAGCTCCTTCCCTGGAAGGATCATCAGTTCTTTTAATTTCGACTATTCCTACATAGCGTGACACTCATGTAAGAATCACTCTACTGGTCTCTGCAAAATACGTCTATGTACTTCAGATGAAGAATCAGCTTTCGCATCAAGGTGTATTACATCTGGTTTTCCATTCATAATCATTTACCGCCGAGGCATAAGAAGAGATAGTGAGAATGCAAAAAAGAGCGTGGTGCATTAAATATGAGACGGCAGCCCATAAAGCTAATATTATATTATGTATTATAGGAAATAAACGTGGTCGCGTAGGTGTTCGCAGCGAAGAAGCAAGTGCAGCTTATCGTACGTAAACAGAGTGAATGGATTTCAATGATCGTAAATTGTTATCGGTTGAAGAAGGGGCTTGTTTGGTTTCAGAGACGCTTACTTTTTGTGGTTGTTACAAAAAAGATGCATTCAGGTTGTTCAACTATAATGACCTTTTGAGACATTCGCGACCACAGATGTGGGTCTTTCTGTCTTACTGTTACTCTAGATATCGTGGTTGCTCTTGCCCTTTACCCGAGTAGCTTCTTTTATATATCTTCTTCGATGGAGGCTGGTGATCATCATAGCCGTTCCTACTTCTTAAATCGCTGATCGCAATAATCCTGCAGATGTATGGCATGCTGAGTAACAGTATACACCGGATGTTTCAAATTCAATTGTTGCGCCATTGGGATCACTGAAACGGCAAGAGATTCAGAGACGGATAAATGGAGGCAAAGTAACTCAACTAAGTAACTAATAAAAGTAAAGAAATTTCCAAAACTCCTTTTTATTTTTAATGAATACATAAAGTCAGTTAATGAATTTGCAAAAAATCGTAACCTCCAACTAAATCCTTCAAAATCTTAAGGGATTATTTTTTCGCCTACATTTTTTTAAATCATGTTGAAAACAACTTTAATGTATAAGATGATGCCACTATCAAAGTTAGTGATGCAGTCAAGAGCTTAGGATTTCTTTCTGATAAATGTTTCAAGTTCATACCTCATGTAATCAAAGCTACTGCTTTCCGATTTTACGTCAATTATAGCCGAATAAGCAAATTCTTGTTTATCAATCTAAAACAATATTATGCGAATCATTCATTATGTTCAAAATTACTTACTGTAATTTTTGGATAGAATGTATCTTTCACGTTTACAAAAAGTTCAAAATTTACGTTGCAGGCTAATAAATAATTTGAGAAAATAAGAATAATAATAATAATAATAATAATAATAAAGTGCTTTTATTGCTCATGTAAGTACAGAAAAAGAAAAAGTACATAAATCTGATGCAGTGAGCAAACGGCAAGGTTCGCTTGATTGACAACCATTTGTTGTCAATCTGCGCTCTTCCACCTAACCAAAAAAAAGGTAGTATATCAGTAATAATAACAGCAAGAGAAAAGTTAAACGTTAAGACAGATACATGTAGACATATAATATTTTAAAACTATATATTGTATTATACATCCATAGATGACATATAACTGTTGCAGGCAGCTTGGTAAAACCTATAATATAAAACGAGTTGATGCTTGAATGAGATTGCTTGAAGTTGTAGCTAATATCTTATGAAGGTGAAATGTCAAAAATCAAACGAAAAAGATATACAGAAGAATAATTGGCAAATCAGCGTGCAGTGTTAAATTTAAGTCATCTCAAGTCTCAGCATAGACTTCACTTCCCGCTTAAATCTCAAAATTGATAGGGGTTTAATTCTAGCAGGCAGCGAGTTGTAAACCTTAACTATGTCATATGAAAAAGAGCACTTATAATTTGAAGTTTTAAATTTAGGTAGTGAGAGATGATGTTTAAACCTCGTGTTACGACTATGCACCTCTGTACGGGTCTTGATCTTCTTGTAAAGATAGGATGGTGATTCAGTATTGAGTATCTTGTGGTATACGGGTCGATTGAGGAACCTTCTTTTCTATATATTGAGCCAAACTAAGTTCTTTAAGTGAAGAGATGTTGGTTGCCGCCTTCTAATACCACTAACAAACCTGACACAAGAATTTTGAATACGCTGACGGCGCGCCTTATCTCGATGTAGCAATGATGGGCCGTACGCGTAGTCTGCATAGCTCATAGCTCAGGTGAGAAAGAACTAGACTCGCACAATATTATTTTAGTTATCTTGATTATTATGCTTCTGCTATTGTATAGCAGTTTCAAAGATGAAAATGCCCTTTTGGTTATAAGAGAGACATGCTGCGAAAAGCGTAGATCTGTATCGATAATAACCCCTAAATTTTTAGCGGAGTTTGTAAAAGTTATTTTGTCTTGTCCGAAATAAATGTCTAAATTATTGGTGTATAGTTCACGATTCTTTTTTTACCAAATAGTAGAGCCTTAGATTTAGTGGCGTTGACGTAGAGACAATATTTTTTTGTTAGCTGATAAAGAATCTGAAGGTCCTCATTTATGTTAATTAAAGTTCGGTTTATATCTGATTCATTAAAAGAAATATATAATTGAGTGTCATCGGCGTAATAGTGATATGAGACGTGTTTAAAACTTTTGTGCAGTTGAGAGGTATACAGAGTGTACAAGAGTGGACCTAAAACAGATCCTTGAGGTACACCTCGACAAACGTTAGACAATTCGGATGTTCCACCAAAGCATTTGACAACTTGTGCCCGATCTTTGAGGTAATTTCTTAATAAATGAATCGCACTTTTAGAAAAACCCAAGTAGTGAAGAACAGCAATCATGGTTTAGCTTATCAAAAGCCTTCGAAAAATCTAAGAAGATTAAGATGCATAGGTTGCCATCATCAATATATTTGCGGATATCATCTGTTACTTTGAGCAAAGCTGTTGTGCAGCTGTGACCTGATTTGAACCCTGATTGATTTTCTGGAAGAATGTCATTTTTAGCAACAAAGTCCCTCATTCTAGCATCAAAAATCATTTCGAAGACCTTTGATGGAGTACATAGGATGCTGATGGGTCGAAGGTCCCCCACATCTTCAGGGTTGCTCTTTTCTGGTATGGGAATTACTTGTGCAAGCTTCCAAATTTTGCTGGCTGTTGATTTTACTGAAAGCAATTTTTGATATTCGTGTACGAAATCTCAAATGCTTCATGAGGGAGTTGCGTATCGGTGAAGAATCGAAGAGTGTACTGATCAGGTTCATTATTATCACCCGAGACGGATTGCATGAAGAAGTTATTGATTTGGTTTGCAGTTCCTAGGTGTAGTTCTGTTTTTTATTGAATATGTTTAATTTTCCGAGTTATTTCCACATGCAAATATGACCATATGAACGGTCCTTTGAGAGACTTGGGATGGTTGAAGGTAAGAGAGCTATATTAGTACACGTATTAACTCATAAGCTCTTACTTCGATTCCTTCGTTTCTAAAGAACATGCTGATCCCACGAAACTATTTTCACGCAAGTGACATACGTTTTATTAAGACACTCACAGTGCCTCATCACAAAACCTCATTATTTCATCAGCACTTCACATGCAACGCGGTTAAACTTTATAATCAAGTACCTCAGGCATTAAAATCACCAAAGTACAACCAATTTAAAAAACAAATTGAACAATTTACTTTAGAAAATTACTCACCAGCATAGTTTGACCTCTCACTTCGCAAAATATTTCCTTTTCGGCGTACATTTTTGTGTATAATTGAATTTGCATCGCCTACTTTACAACAATATTATATACTATAATATATTATATTACTTTTACATGTTTGTTTTATTTATTTTTTGTTGTTTTCAAGGGTTAAGTCGCAGAATAGCCTCAAGCTAAACTTCGCACTCAATAAAAGATGTTTTTAGTATAACTATTTCAATATGAAGTTACTCTTGTCCTCAATCATCAACTGATGGACGCCATATTGAATGTACAACTGAGTATAGTTCTAAATTTGAAACATATGTCACAGGCCACAGTTTTTATGCACTAAGTAAACAGTCCCTATTTCCGATTTTGGTAATCTGTACTATACTTATCTACGAGTAAAGTTGCTACATTTTTGTCACATTCAAATTGTTTAACCAAAATCGCTCCTATGATGACCATAGATGATCATTTCTCTGTAGAAGCCAACCAGAAAAACTGGATAAGACTTATTTGATCTCATAGTCACTTGTTCCAACCACAGCACAGAAGATTGGGATTGAATAGGCGATAAACGTGAATCTATATGTGTCACCCTCTCTATTCGTCATTGTCCGTCAGAGCGGTCCGTGGGACCTTCCCTCTTTGTTAAAGTATCGTAGGTTAGTGCGTCTGTGAGGTCTGGTTACCCAGATACCAGACGAAGTCAGGGAGAAAGAAAGGAAGAAGAAAGAAAGGAAGGAAGGGGGGAGAGCAAAGAGGGTCAAGTGCGCCGTTTAAAGGATGCCTTGCTATTGCTAACTGGTATTCGATTATTTTAAATTGATCCAAAAATTAATTCAGGAATTTGTGTGTGGCAAAAATGGTATTTTTGGTTGGCTCTAGAACTGCACGATTTGATTTCGATCACAGTGCGAGCCGCGGTCTTGTGTGCCTGCGAACCTGCTCCACTGTGTAGTCTACCGACTCACGCAACACAGGGTTGCTGTGCGATTCCGCTTGACTATACCGTAACTGCGCCTGATGTTTGATGTAGTCCATTAGGTAAGCGATTTCGAGGTCTCTGTGAAGGGTCTCGTTGGAGACATACCATGGTGCGTTGGTGATGGTTCGCAAGGTTCTGTTCTGAAAAACCTGCAGATTACGCATATGGGTCTTGGCAAGAAAACACCATGCTGCACATGAGTAGGTGAGTGCTGGTCTGATAACCATCTTGTATAGCCGAACTTTGTTAACCAAACTTAATTTTGAGGTTCTACATAGCAAAGTGTGTCACATGGCTAATGGAAGGCCCTAATTGTATCAAGCCTGTCATACAGAACTTTGATACTGGAGAATAACAGCCACTTCACCATCAAGCTCGAAAGTTGCCTCTCGTCAAAGGAGAGGAAGCCGAGGAAATTATCCCGGATTTGGAGAAAAAAGGGGTGGCAGAACCATCTAGCAGTCATTAGAAGTCACCGTTGGTTCCGATTAGGAAAAAAGGCAGAGTTTTGCTCGTAGACTACCTACTGCACAGCGTCACAAAGGAGGACAGTTACCCTTTACCACAACTAGGTAGAAACACCCTGTAGTAGGATACTGGCAGGTGAAAATGAATTTTTGAGAAGCGAGAAAACTGCCTCTGCTATTTTTGAGGTGTTTGTAGTGTGATGTTAGTTGATTTATGCAATTCTGCAGCAATGTTTGGCAGACTGATGAAGAACATGCTGAGGGGGTTGTCCTGGATAATCGGACTGGTGTGTATTTATGACATAGGCTTTAATTTTAATTCTGATACCTTTAACAATAGAACATTACAATGCAGTTATAAAGTGACTCACCCTGTAATCCGTATATTTATTAGCATATCTTATGTCTTTCCGTAGTCTATCCTTGCTGCATATTTCTCCGCATGCCGCTTATGTAATATGGGAGATAAATATTATACTTCAGAATGCCAGGTATTCTCGAGACGTAGATAATCTATCAGCAGCAGTAGTGTTTGATAGCATCCTTTTATTGTGATACGGATGCGAGACGCCTCGCCGATGCAGTGAAGAACAACGTGTAGATAACTTGTTTATTGTTACACGGCTCATGGCTGTATTACAGTTGTAGTACAAGGCATTTGTGATTTTGTGACAGGAAAGTCACTCAATGGAGTTTTTTTTGCATAATGCCCTACTTATTATAGCGTTGATTGATCACTCGTATGGTCGATTTTTCTGTGAAGATTACAGCTCCCTCATAGCCAATAAATTGCTGGCGCAGCTCGACACAAAGGAAGTTTTCAATCCCAGTATGATTTTTGTTCTCGTAACACCGAATAGCGAGGTGTATAGACCTAACTCTCTTTTGGTTATTAGTATTAATTTATGGGTTTTCCTTAGTCAACTGATTAGTACATTAGTATGTGACAAGTTTCTCCCAAATCTACGTCAGCTGAGCTGTGCTAACTGTATCTTTACGAGCTCAAGCTTCTTTTAGTATTGTATTTGCACTTGGCAATCCTTCTCGTTCTTTTTCTCAGAAAGGAAGTCACTTCCAGTATTTTTCCCCATCAGTCACAATGGTCGGTCTGACATTGTGAATGGTTTTACTGGAAGATTCCTGCTTTTACAGTGTGGAAAATTCTTGGAACAGTGATCCATAGTGGCAATGTGGCAACATCTTTATTGCATCTCCATACATTTAAGGGACTCGTGAAAAGGCCTGTTCCTATTCCACAGTCCACCTCATAATCCGACGACTTGTGCATCTACGTCCTTTTGGCTTTGTATATAGTCGAACCATTTTTGTCGTTAGTCTGTTAGTTTACCATTAATTGCCAAATCTTCTCGATGCTTCGTAAGAACTTCGTTTCTACCGATTGTATGCAACTTTTAAAATTTTTGTTGAGTATCTAAAACCTAAACCCTTGCACTTCTTATTGTGCCCGCATTCTAGTATAGGCCATTGCTTTTAGCGGGCGACAAGTCATGACCTAGTTTGCGCACTTAGCTGTCACTGACACGTCGCTGACTGTATTAATTGCGTACATAAGAACGTTACGAGTTGGCTAAGGGAGGTCAGACCGATTACCGACAACTAATCCGCTGTTCGTACAGAAACTTCTGACTGTTTGGTGACTGTCAAATCAGTCAGCAGATAATTTTCCAGTAAATTATCAGAGCTCGAAATCAAGTACAATAATTATTCGAATGTAAAATTTTTTAGAATGAAATAGACAATTTTGAAAAAGTTGAGGGTTCCTTTGCTGTAAACCAGAATGATCTAGGATTTTTCGTCCAACTGACCAAATGTGCCCGAATTTTTCTTTAGAGAGGTGTAAGCCTTCCTTTCCGCAAAAAGTCCAGAAAAGATGGAATGCAATGAAGATTTCAACTTTTCTGCACAATCACAGAAAGGGGGTTACCATTAGCTTCCGGTAGCTCAGCCGGTGGCATGAAGACATCTACAGGCGTGTAGCTGTGTGTCGACCATGGCATGGCTAGAGGATAGAAGAACAAACAGAACACAAAAATTTAACAGATTTTATTTAACTTGAAAAGCACTTTCATTACATTTGAAATTGAAATTTTAAAGAACAAAATAAGTTTTAAATCTTTGACGCTGCTATAAAACTATACACTTATCTTTTGCTAAGCTGATCCATTTTGACTGGACTGAAGCGAGGATGGCCAGGTGCTTGAAGTGGAGGTCCCAGTTATGAGGGGTGACCTCACATTTAGTGGCTTCAAAACTAGATGTAGGCGAAGTTGAACTCAAAGGTGATGGCGCTGCCAAGGCACATGCATGGGTGAAGTGATAGGCCAAGCAATGCAAAGTCAAAGACAAAGGCAAAAGTCAAAGACAAAGGCAAAGGGAAAGGCAAAGGGAAAGGGAAAGGGGGTGGCCCCAATCATTTTATCCTATTTGGACACACATTTTACAAAATTCTAGCACATGGTGCTATATGACCTCATGCTCTTGTTAGATCGGCGGCTCAAGTGAAAAGGAAGCGCGAGGAAGATCACAGATCAAGCGCGCTCCAAGCGGAAATGTTTCCAAGTAAAAAAGCTAGAGATGGGATTAATGAGTTGCGATTCTGAAATGATAATCGAGAAGTGATTTAATAAATACAATCGGACAGTGAAACCGTTACAGAGGAAAACATGGACACCTTGTAGAACAAATAACAGCACCCAAAAATGTCAAGTAGATTTATTCAGTAATTACCATTCAATTCTCACATATAAAGTATAAACATAAATTCGAAGAACTATGATTCCACACATCGAATGACAAGTTGAAGAAGTAAATACATAGTAAGAATTCTGAAGAAACGTCTGCAGTGATTATGCATGAGAAATGTACAAAGTGTTGTGAATGACTTTTAATAAAACTCAGATAGTAGGGTTTTTGTTCCCTGTTCCTTTGTCGCCCAGCATCCAAGTGTATGCACAAACAGTATTTATACAGGGTGGCCCATCCATGTGTGGGATGTTATACATGACATTTGAGGGCACATTCCTAAAATACTTATACAGGGTGTCCCAATTTAGAACTACATATCAAAGTTGTGATTTTTCAAATAGAATACCTCAAACTTTATTACATACTTGAATAAACCAATTCAAAAGAAGAAAATTGATATAACACACTATGGGGTTTTGGTAATTAGCTACTGAGGTATAAGGTGTTTTGTTTAGAAAAACCGCCCAATTCGGTAATCCCTCAGTCCGCCATTTTGAAATTTGGAGTGCTGAAATTTGTACCAAAAAAAAATTACACACCTCAGCTTTTATCTTGTTTATTACTTTTTCGAATTTCAATTTTTGCTCATACAGGGTGGTCAAAAACGCAAATTGTAGTTTTTCTCAAACATTTCAAATGCATCACCCTGTATATTTGTGCAAGTTTGGATTCAGTTTTTTATAAAAAATATGAATTCTAATAATCAAAGAGGACCGCTTGGAATGTAATGAAACAGAATAAAAATGCATCTAGACATGAAGTAATTTTAATAGTATTACAGACGTATACGTAGATAACAAAGTCGGAAATAGTAGTATTAATATAGATAGGAACATTCATTCATTTTATCTCGGACCTGCTGTAGCAAATGACATATCAGCTATTGTAAAAAACGATTTTTTTTCGCAGACAGAATTAGCACTAATATGTTAAAATTTTCATCTGACATCGTTTGCCATCCTCTTGCTTTTTAATTAACTGCTCCATCGAAGAAGGAATTTTTCCCGACAAACTTAAGTTTGCAAAAATTAGGCCGCTGTTTAAGTCTGACCTATCTCACTTCTTAGTCGCTTCTCGAAGTCAGGTTGGATTTAGACACGGCATGTCAACCAAAAATGCCGTACTTCGTTTCCTAGATAATTTATATCTTAAGATGGTAAAGGAGAAAAATGTATAGGTATATGCCTTGTCTTAAGCAAAGCTTTTGACTTGGTTGACCATGCTATTCTGCTAGATAAAATGGATAGATATGGAATCCGAGGGAAGCCATTTGACTGGTTCCATAGCTATCTGTCCGATAGAAAGCATCATGTCGAGGTACAAAATGCACAGTCCAGCCAACAGTTCTATCATACTGGTGTTCCACAGGGTTCCATACTTGGCCCTCTCTTATACATAATGTACGTCAATGACTTACCCTCCGATTGCTCGGTAATGTGTGCTGATGACACTTCTTTACTTGTTAATGGTAAAAACCTAGAATCTGTTGTAGGACTTGCCAATTCAAGCTTGACTGGTGCAGGTAAGTGGTTCAGCAATAATGGGCTCGTCTTAAATAATCAGAAATCTATTTTCCTTAGATTTAACCTTTCCACCTCACCGATGGATCACACTTTATTAATAAAATCGTTTGACAAATCAATAAAAGTGGATGCGACTAAATTTTTAGGGATATATATCTCAAAATTGTAGATGGGATACGCATATTGAGAAAAGTAGCCAAAAGATCGCTCTACTCTGTTACTGTCTGTACCAGTTAAGTTTTGTTGTGGAGAAGTGGATATTGCTGATATTTTACCATGCACATATCCATTCAGTCCTAATTTATGGAATAGAAGCATGGGGAGCATCGTCCCAGCTGCAAAGACTTTTTGTGTTGCAAAAAAATGCTATTCAAATAACAGCTAAAATTGGAAGGCTCACTAGCTGCAAGGATTCATTTAGAACATTAAAGATTTTAACCTTACCATCTGTATATATATATACTCAATATACTTATCCTTGCTAAAACACAATTCAGCAAGATCAATTCTATAAGCACTGGTGCTTACTTTACAAGGAACAGTCAAGTATTAGAGGTGCCGTCGCATAGATTGGCGAGAACGGAGGAGAGCCCTGGATACATGGCTATTAAGTTTTTCAACAGACTCCCCAACAATTTGAAATCACAACCACTGAACACCTTTAAAAGAACAGTTAAACAATTTTTACTGGAGAAAGCTTTTTACTCTATTGAGGAATTTTTAATGCGTGAATGTCTTGTTTGATTTTGATCATTGTTGTTTGAATGTCACTTAATGGTTTGTCATTTATTTCGCTTTTTTATATATACATATATGTTTTATATTTATGAATTTTATCTATAAGCTAACACTAACATGATTTGTTATTAGCTTCTGTAGTGCTCTGACTGACATCCTATATCACATCTGTGATTATACTGGACTAATAAATTATTATATTATATTATTATTAATAACTGGACCCCAGAGCTTTTATCTTCTGCCAGTCCACATCGAAACATATTCGTTTATCCCGTAGCCAGTTTTCTTCCCACATTCAATTATGAGTCAAAGGCCCATATACATGACGGTACCACCCTGATCGAACCAACCGTCCAGCATAAAAATCCAATAAACGCGGTAGCTTCAAAGCCTCCGAATGACTGCACCA